CAGGCAAAGAGCTGGCCCCGTTTACGTTACTTCGTGGCCCTCCCCCACTGTCTCGCCCCGGATCTCCCCCATTGCTGCTGGACCCCTAATGGTGGGTGGGGTCCTGCTGGGTGTAGGAATTCCTCCCTTCCCCTAGCCGCCCCTCAGGGGTGCTGGTCCCAGAGATCTGGCCTTTATTTTTGCTCCCCCTTTCCTCCTTCCCACTCCCTCAGGACCTGCGCAGCTGGAGGGGGCCTCGGTGGGCAGAGGATCAGGCCTCAGATCTCAGCAGGTTCCTGGGGGTCCAAGTGGCAGGGGAAACCTGGCCACGCTCCCTTTTGATCCTCTGCCCTCCCAGTGGTCCCCCAATTTCCCCCTTTGGGCGTTGGATCCGTTCCCCTCCCCCAGCTGCCCCTCAGGGGTGCTGGTTCTGTCCTGCCTCCAGTTCTCCTCCCCCCTCCCCCCACTCCCCACATCCTACCCGGTCGCAGGGGGTTCCTCCCATCCCCTTAGGTGTCCATGGTTCCCCAGGGGTGCCTGTTAGGTGCCCTTTTTGTAAGGAGACGCGAATTCTGCATCCTTTTAGTACGCTTTCTTGACTCCACCTCCCATACTCCCTTTTAATGCTACATAAAATAACAAAATTATAATACTTTTTATTTTTATTTTTTTGGCTGCATTGGGTCTTCATTGCTTTGCACTGGCTTTCTCTAGTTGTGGCGAGCGAGGGTTACTCTTTGTTGCAGTGCACGGGCTTCTCATTATGATAGCTTCTCATTGGGGAGCATGGGCTCTAGCCACGCACGCTTCAGTAGTTGCAGAACGTGGACTCAATAGTTGTAGCATGTGGGCTCTAGGGCATGCAGGCTTCAGTAGTTGTGGCTCCCAGGATTCAGTAGTTGTGTCTCTTTGGCCTAGTTGCTCCACAGCATATGGGATCTTCCCGGACCAGGGATCAAACCCACGTCCCCTGCATTGGCAGGTGGATTCTTAACTACTGTGCCAGCAGGGAAGTCCCTATAATACTTTTTAAATTAATGGCATCCAAAATTTGAAGAACATAAGTTGAGAAGATATTATTATTAGCGATGAAAAACAATAATGATGTATGTGATGTAACCTGGGTAAGGAGGGAAAGGACATAATAGGAGTCAAGTCCAATATTCAGAACTTAGATAAATCTGATCATTTTAGTTCACTGAAATTTTAAAAGAATTGAGGTTTTTTAAATGGAGTGCTTTAAGAAATTAGGTACAAATTTTTTTGTTGTTTTAGAGAAGATTTTGATTAACTTTTTATTATAAGAATAAGCAAATGGGCTTACACAGGTATATTCAAAGATTCATTTCAGGTGTAGAATCATTTCTTCAGAAGATATTAGTTACTGGAATGTATCTTTGAAAGATCGTTCTCCTCTAGAGAACTGGAAGTTAGTTAGTTTTTTTTGTTTTTTTTTTGCCGTACGTGGGCCTCTCATTGTTGTGGCCTCTCCCGTTGCGGAGCACAGGCTCCGGACGTGCAGGCTCAGCAGCCATGGCTTACGGGCCCAGCTGCTCCGTGGCATGTGGGATCGTCCCCGACCGGGGCACAAACCCGTGTCCCCTGCATCGGCAGGCGGACTATCAACCACTGCGCCACCAGGGAAGCCCTGGAAGTTAGTTTTGCCTGAAGATCAAGAGTAGGCTCAGGACTGCCACCTGATGGCCTAAGGTTCTTTCCATCTTGGCCATTTCTTGAAAGTTCAATTCATTCAGCAAATTTATCCAGCATCTAACACACCCCATGCACTATGCTAGGCTCTGGGGATATTTGCCTTCGTGTTATCCCCAGTCAAAACAGTAAGGTGAAGAAAAGGGAAGGAAGGGAGGCAGGAAAGTAGTAAGGAAGATAAGAAAGAAATCATCAAAGACATGAATTAAATCATGAATTTTTAAAATGTGCTATGAAGCAATCAAAGAGTGTGCCCATGAGGGTAAGGAGGGCAAATTTACTTGAACGATGATAAGGAAGGTATGATGGATGTTTGAGGTGGTTTCATGGAGGCTGGGATTTGAGGGATGAGGAAAATCCTGCTCTAGTAGGGGTAGGGATAGAGGAGTCTTCCAGATTTCCTGAGGTGGCAAAGACTTTGGTATATTCTAGAAAATATCCTAAGGCTTGTGTGCCTGGAGTTCAGTTGAGTGAGAGGAGATTGAGATGAAGAAAGGCTGTTGAGGGTGGGTGGGGGCCGGAACAAGGGGACTTGCAGACCCTGGTGAGGGGTTAGGATCTAACTCTAAGGGCACAGGGAAGCGGTTGAGGGTTTTAAACAAGGGAGTGACAATCTACATTACGTTTTAAAACCATTTCTCTGCCTGTAATTGGTCTGGTGAATGTATGAGAGCTGTCAAAGATTTGCTTGGAAGACTGTTGAAGTAGTCCAGGAGAAGGGTGATAAGTTCCTAGATTGAGGATTTAATTTGGAAGTAGAATTGTTAAAATTATCCTTAGACCAAATATAATTCTTCAGTTTTCTTTCTAGTTCTTGCTCTTCCCTTCTCTGCTTCCACATAGACAAGTAATTAAGGTTTTAGTCTGATTTTCTCTTGAAATTAGCAGGTATAGTAGGATCTCGCAAAGTCTCTCAGAATTTAGAGTGAATTTAATTCAGTAGTATACAATAGTTTTATTCTCCTTCATTTAATTATATTTTTCTCTCGTGTGTGTCTTGCATATATTGACCTGTTAGTATTGATTTCTCTTTGCTTAGCAAAAATTGTTCCTTGCTCTCGTAAGGGGCTATTTGTGTCACTGATATATATTTTCATATTATTTAAGAATATTTTTTTCTAAATGTCATTGTTTTATTATGTAACTTTGCCCCTTTTAGGAAATCCTACATTATCATTTTCATACTAAAGCTCATAATAAATTAATGATTTTAATATCTGGTGTTATATGCGTATCAAAGCCTATGTAAAAGTAGTATTGTTTGTTTTTCCTGCTTCCTTACCCTCTTCTTTTCTTCCTTTATCTTTTCTGGCATCTAAATGATTTTCTTCCTTGTTTCTTCTGCCTGTGCAAAAGTTTCCTCTGGCTACTTGGGACACAGCATATCAGTGAAATGATTTCTACATTAGTCTTGGTAAGCAAGAACCGAAATAAAGGAAATAACAGGGTTTGACATTAAAGTTACTTAAATGTCATCATGTATAATTTATGCCTAGTAATACTTTCACATCAAATCACCTCATAAAGTGGGAGGGATATATATCAACCATTGAAATACATTTCTCAAAAATAATTTGTTGGTCAAAGATTATAACTGGCAAGTTTGGGATTTACGTTTTTGGAGGGAGAAACTCTAATAATATATTACCATTTTATCACCATGAAGTTCTGTTTAAATTTGCTCTTTAGGCAGTAGTCATGTAATTTTCATTTGGCCATGCCTTTGGTTAACTGGTTATTGGTGAAGTAGTTTTTAAAAGGCATGAAGGCAAGAAAGAATGCATGCTCATATCTGAGCAAGGCTTGACTTCTGCTTCTACATTCTAACGAATGGGACAGATGCTCCAAAAAAATAAATATAATACCGCATAATATTTACATAGTCATGTGTTTATGGATCAAAGACCTCAAAATATATACTCTGTATGGAAATAAATTCTTCCATGTCAACAATTGTGAGCTCCTCTTCCTGCAAGGAGTTGTGATTGAGAGGATAAGGACAGATTTAAAGCTCAATTATAATCTGTCCTATTTCTCTAATAATTTTACCATGATTCTGTATTTGCAAAGATCCTTCTTTTTCTTTAAATTAGGGCCCCATTTGCTTATCTCCACATCTCTCTTCTTAAGGAAAGCAGTCTGCCATGTTCCTTTCAAATGAAGGTAAAGTTACAGAGGCCATCTCCTTTACTTACCTTGAATATCAGAAATTAACCAGTTTCCCAGGGTGTAAAACGTACTTGAATTGCCGTTTGGGAGTAAGTGTTAAGTGATTAGAAAGAGAGAGAAATATCTGTCAGTGGACTCTGACATTGCTTTGGTTTTTGTTTGCTTCCTTGCTTTTGCCCTCTTTTGTGTATTTCCCTGTATATGCTGTAAGAATTATTAACCGGTGTTCTCCAAGTTTGGCTAATGTAGTGCAGATTTTTGTGCTGTGAACAGATTACAGGGTTATAGTACTGAGATCTTGATTTGCTCCGTCCTTGAGGCAGCCAGAAGGCCTTGGGTGGCCCATGCCACCAGGGAGAGCCCCTCCCTCCAGCAGTGAGTAACCATGACAGGACCAACGTCGGAAGCATTGACAGAGGGGATGGGTAGTAGGCAACGTATAGAAAGGCTGAGGAAGGGGCCACTGATACATAGTGATGGACTATTATATACTTTAAGCCAAATAATTTTTTCAGGTCACTGATTTTTAAAATAAACATCTGTGGAAGTAAGATAAACTAGACAGTTTATTTACACGTAAAAAGTCTTGAATGGCAATTCAGAGCTCTTAAAATGCTCTCACACATGTATTTTCTCATTTGGTTCTTCCAGCAGGCCCGGGGGAAGCAGGGCGGGGAGCAGACTTGATATTCAGAGGTTTAAAGGACTCACCTATATTGAGCACTTTCTAGCATTTTATCTTCATTTTATTAGTACATTTTAAACACATGCAGATTTTCAAGGGAAAACGCAGGTGTTTTCATAGCTTCTGTTTTGTCTTATGTATGAAACGATGCAAGTTCTGGAAGTTCGCTAAGTATTACTTCATTTATTTCACTATTGCCAAAGTCAGAGAAGGTGCTTTTTAGAACATCCCTCGACAAATTACTTAATTTCCATAAGGCCTCAGTTTCGTCTTCTACAAGAAGGGATTAACATAATACTAGCATCATGGGATCAGTGTGTGGACAACAGGAGAAAATACATGTGAAACGCCTCCCCCAGGCCGTGGCACATCCTGTGTATTCAATAACCATCATGCTGTATTGACCCGTTTCATAAGATTGATAGGTATGTGTGCTAATTTTTGTTACTTCTCCCAGGTACAACAAAAATTTGGAAGAAGCTAAAAGAATTGGAATAAAGAAAGCTATTACAGCCAACATCTCTATGGGTGCAGCTTTCCTGTTGATCTATGCATCATATGCTCTGGCATTCTGGTATGGGACCTCCTTAGTCCTGTCAGAAGATTATTCTATTGGACAAGTACTCACTGTAAGTGATGTTATATTAAGAGATGACTCACTATTAACATGCAGTGAAATTTCGTAGTGTTGGTTTGAGTGTTGGAGCATATATTTTCGAAGAATTATTAAATAATGCAAAGAATAGCGAGCAAGAGACTGGGATTTGATATCAGGCCGTCTTGGTTCAAATTCCGGCTCTGCCACTTAGTAGCTGTTTGATTCGCTTCAGCCACCTAGACTTTTCAAGACTCTCTTACCTCTTCCGCAAAATGGAAATGACAGGAATAAGATGCCATAATTTTTAGCGTTGTTGTAAAGGACTAACCGAGAACATGAGTAGAGAATCACTTAGCAAAATTCCTTCTATGTGGGCTTCCCTGGTGGTGCAGTGGTTGAGAGCCCGCCTGCCGATGCAGGGGACACAGGTTCGTGCCCCGGTCCGGGAAGATCCCACATGCCACGGAGCGGCTAGGCCCGTGAGCCATGGCCACTGAGCCTGTGCGTCCAGAGCCTGTGCTCCGCAACGGGAGAGGCCACAGCAGTGAGAGGCCCGCGTACAGCAAAAAAAAAAAAAAAAAAAAAAAAAAAAAAAAAAAAAT